GACAGACAGACAGACAGACAGACAGACAGACAGACAGACAGACAGACAGAGACAGACAGACAGACAGATAGACGCACGCAAATACTTGTTTAGTACATACATTATGTATATTAGGCCCTATCCAGTGCAAAGTTTTGTACACACCTCTCTGTATCTTTCCAGCTCCTGGGCAAAGGTACATTCATGGAACAATGCATGCAACCTCTCCTGGGTATAGTTGTGGCAGAGCTCCTCAAATGTGGCTCCCCGTTGCAGCTGAGCTAAGCGGGGGTTCTGGAAGCCAGGTGTGTCCACAATCAGAAGGGAGCAAACAGAGTGCTGACTGGATTTTAAAGCCCTGAGAAACACAAATGGATGATCATTTGAAAAGGGAGCTCCTATATTGAGAAACAACAATAGTACCTATACAATTGATTTCTTTAGACTCTTTTTGTGGCGCTTCAATTTTATTGCGAAACACTTCCAGTTCCAACACTCCTGAGCTGTTTCTCACAAAGTGCTCTTTTAATACTGTATCTAAATGCTATGTGTCTATACAGTATTCATCCATCCCCTGCCACTTCTGCTAGCTCCTCTGGCGGGATCCCAAGGTGTTCCAAGGCCAGCCAACAAACATAGTCCCTAACTGATTTTAGATTATGTAAAATCGTGATGGCCATGACAAAGCCTTCAGTCTGAAACTTTTCATGTTTATATATATTATTTCTTTAAGTTTTTTCTATAATTTATTAGCTCTAGTCGCTTTATATGAATGTAAAGAGAGAGAGGGGGAGACATGAAGGAAAGGTAGATTCAATCCTGGGACAACTGCAATGGCAGTACTGCATGTCCACATACTAGGCCAGAATGTAACTCACTAAATTGAGCAGGTAGACAATTTTTTTTCTATGTGTTGTAAGTTAAATAATCAGTATTCACCTGTTGATGAGGGAGATAACACAAGTGAAAACCTCTGAGTAAAGTCCAGAGGCCATCGCCTCCAAACACTCTTGAGCCGAGAACTTCAACCCTGGAATACAAAAGGAGTTGCAGTTCAGTCAGACCTACAAAATGAATACCTAAATATATTAAATATATTCCCATTTAGGACCAGTGCATCAGATTTTTTTAATATGTTTTCAAGCGTTATTGTTTCACATGAACGAAAGAGGACAAAATTAAAGACTTTGACAACAAGTACTAAGGCCTTTCAGCCAGTCTTTGCAAATGTATGATATCAATTCTTCCATCATACTGACCAGAAGTGGTAAATACACAAATAAAAACTTCAAAACTTTTCAGATATCAAAATAGGCTGTTAAAAATCAGGTTTTGTCAAATCAAACAAGTAAGCTCTACATTACCGTATCAGGTATAAATTCATTTTGCAACATGACAAGAAAGGGTACTTAAAGTAAGGTTGGAAAAGTTTGTGAAGCTCAAAACTACATGCTTTTAACTCATTCTACAGCATGTTGACTTTTGTTATTCACATTTCAAGGCATGCAGTTTGTTTTCAGCCCACACCTAATCATCCAGTTTTACAATTAGAATAAGTTTCTGAATGCTCTTGAGGGCAATTTAATGACTTCTTCAACACTGTAATAACGATGTTATATAACAAACATAACATTCATCTGTGTGGCTTTACTTGTGCCGGGTCTAGCTTGTTTAGTTAGACATAGACATAGACATAGACAACTTTACTGTCATTTTGTGTGTACGAAGTGCACACAAAACTAAATTTCATTGAATACAGCTTTAGACAAGAATTGGATTCAATAATTTAGAAGTCTAATGGCAACAGGGTAAAAGCTGTTGTATAGCCTGGTGGACCTGCAGCGGATGCTGCGGAACCTCTTTCCAGAGGGCAACAGGGAGAACACATCATGGTGGGGGTGTGTCCGTTCTTTTCCTCCAAGTATGTCAGGCTCAGGTGAAGAGCGGAGGAGATGGCGTCCTCAGTGGAGCGGTTTCGCCGGTAGGCAACCTGGAATGGGTAAAATGTTGGGGGGAGACTGGAGAGGATGTGATCTTTCATAAGCCTTTCAAAGCACTTCATGATGATGGGAGTCAGTGCAACGGGCCGGTAGTCATTGAAACAGGTGACTTGAGGTTTCTTTGGCAGTGGAATGATGGAGGCAGACTTAAAGCATGCTGGCACTGTAGCTTGGTCCAGCGAGGTGTTAAAAATATCTGTGAGGACACCAGCTAGCTGATCTGCTAACTCCTTGAGCACCCGCCCAGGTATGTTGTCGGGACCTGGGGCCTTCCGCGGGTTGACTCTTCTCAGAGTTTTCCACACGTCGGCTGTGTCAAGGCAGAGTGCCTCCTCTTCCTGATGGGGAACAGCCTTCATTGCTGGAGTGCTGTTTAGTGCCTCAAACCTCCCGAAGAAGTTATTTAGTCCATTGAGGAAGTCAGCATCAACTTCACTCACCGGGGGGGAGGGCGTGTTGTATTCAGTGATCGCCCGTATGCCTTGCCACATGCATCTGGTGTTGCTGGCGTCATGGAAAAGATCCTGGATTTTTTTACTGTGGGTCCGCTTCGCTAACCTGATTGCACGGTTCAAGTTGGCTCTCGCTGTTCTCAGTGCCTCCTTGTCACCGGACTTGAAGGCTGAGTTCCTTGCTTTTAGCGCTTGGCGAACCTCCCCAGTCATCCAGGGTGGTTGGTTGGCTCGGGTGATGATGTTCTTTGTGGTGCTGACGTCCTCGATGCATTTGTTGATGTAGGCTGACACAGTCATGGCATACTCAGCAATGTTTATCATGTTGTCACATGTTTCTGCAGCTTTGAATATGTCCCAGTCAGAGCACTCAAAACAGTCCTGGAGTGCCTCCATGGCCCCATCAGTCCACACCCTCACCTGCCTCACTGTAGGTTTAGCTCTGATCAGCAGGGGCCTGTATGCAGGAATTAGCATTACATAGAGGTGGTCTGAAGAGCCGAGGTGGGGGTGTGGGGCTGCTCTGAATGCGTCTTTTATATTTGTATAAATCAAGTCTAGAGTGTTCTCTCCTCGAGTTGCAAAATCCACGTGTTGGTAGAAATGAGGGAGAACAGTTTTCATACTGGCCTGGTTAAAGTCCCCTGCAATGATGAAAACACCCTCAGTGTGTGCAGATTGCAGCTCGGAGATGGCCCGATAGAGAACACTCATAGCCTCTTTAGTATTAGCGCTGGGAGGCACATAAACAGCAGTGATGCTGACAACAGTAAACTCTCTTGGCAGGTAGAAAGGTCTGCAGTTAACTGTCAAAAGCTTTATGTCCGGAGAGCAGTGGCTGGCGACTGATCTAGCATTTTTACACCAGTTGTTGTTTATGTAAACACACAGCCCGCCCCCTCGGGACTTGCCGCTAAAACAGCTGTTTCTGTCTGCATGGAAAGTAGTGAGCCCCTCCAGTCTAACTGCGTTATCCGGAATTGATGAATTAAGCCATGTCTCTGTCAGGATGAGAGCACAACAGTTTCCAAGTTCCCTCTTTGAAGAAAGCTCAAGTTGTAAATGGTCAATTTTGTTGTCCAGTGAGCGGACGTTGGAGAGCAGGATGGATGGAAGCGGCGTTCTGTAGGGGTTAGCTTTTAGTTTAGTTGTTAATCCACCGCGACAGCCGCACTTCCGTCGCCGGTCACACCGCTTGCTCGAAGCAGTACGAAGTCGCGTAAACAATCAAGCGTAGCTTTAGTTACGAGTCCAAAAACACTGTATGACCGTAACTCCAGCAGCTGTTGGTAGTCAAGTACTGATCTACCGGGTCGATGAGTGATTTGTGCCGTGTTTTGAGGCATATTTTTGTTAAAAAATAATAATATGATAGAAAATAATGATAATTAGTAATAAAAAATAAGTAATAATTAAAAAAAATTAGAAAATGCCGCAAGTTGTCAGGAGCTGTATACAGCCGCAGCCTAGCAGGGCGCTGCCATGGTAACAAGATTTTTTAAATTTAATTTAAAAAAATATATATTTTTTTTCATTGTACAACTGTATGGGGAGGCAAAAGCAATAAACAGGCATAACTCAAATTGTTACAGGTATGATGCAGGGGTCTGTGTTTTTACCTGAGTTTTCATCTTGGCCAGCATTATCTGGCGCTCCTCTGAATGAGGTGGAGTGCTGTAGCCCTCTGGCGTGATGCTTAAAGATCAAAGAGGACAGCTCCTCCAGGGTGCAACCCAGAAGGTAGGAAGCTTTTTGAGCCCATTCATGATGAGCAAACTGCCTGCGCCCCACTTAAAAGAAAAATATGTTTAAACCATTACAAAGTGCAGTAAAAGTTAAAGGAAAAAATACAATACGATAACATGTCCGAAAATATAAGAGGGAAAAAACATGAACTGCACACATTCTTGTGTGTTTGCATCGGTATATATGTGTGCGTACGTGTGTGTGTGCATGCGGGTGTGTGTGTGTATTTGTGCGTTTGGATTTTCTACCTGCAGTGGCTTCTGCAGCACCCAAGTGATAGATGGCTCCCAGAATAAGCCATAGCGCCTTCTGCTCTTCACTAGAAATACCCAACACCTTCATTGCAGCTTGAAGCTTCGTGAACTGCTGTGAGGCCCGTTGCTTGTCTTCCAGCTATGAAACAAATTCAGTTCAATAGCACAATTTCAGCTGAGAAAGAAACCCACTAAAAATAAGCTTAACAGTGTACTATGGTTACCTTTGTGTTTGGAAAAATCCCAAAAGCACTATTTTCAGAAAACTGGTTAAAGTGAAGCTCTGTTCTGCAAGAGAAGTAACATATGTACAAAATAAACAAGTCAGTTAGTGTCATTGAAATGTATAATTCTGCCTTAAACTGATGTACACGATATAATATTGAAGTAAATAAGCAGTGTCTTTCCTAATTTGTAATCAGAAGCCTTAAAATCCTTTAAAAACTTACCCTGACCTGGCCTACTTTCAGCTAAAAACAAAATTAAACTTTTAAACGGATCTCAATGCATTCAGCTATTGCCAAATGACTTTTCTCTAAAAAAAATAGACAGCCGTTTTTAAATATCACAATTTTAAAGTCATTCAAATTTCAGCTCCTTCAAATTTTTACAATGTCATTCCTATGGAGGCAAGGTAGAGTTGGAGATCAAAGGGATCATGTGACCAACTGTAGAATTTCAGCCAGTTCCATTCATCAAAAATCTTCAAACTCCTTCAGATTACTTCCACAACCTTCAACTTTCATACACAAAGTATACCTTAAAACGTAGGAAATGTTATTTCCTTTCAGGCAATGTAACTATCAAGGCATTTAAGATTTTAGATTTTGAGCAGTGACCTTCAGAGTCAGAGCTGTGCCACCAGAATTACATTGAAAATCAATACTAAAATCGGACCGAAATCTGGAACAGACAAGAAAAGTTGCATATTTTGAAACCACTGACACATTTATGGCTTAATTTAAAAAATAAAACACAACGATGCAATCCTGTATCTCTCCCGGCACTCGCGATATCAATATAATCAACATGGATCTTATAGTTTTGGCTCAGGAGGTCAGAATGTGAAGGGAACTTTAGGCTGTTACATCAGCCTTGACCATAGGTGGGTGTGTATCTCACCTAGCTTCAGCTGGGGCCGTCACCATTACGACTAATGCCTGCTCTGTTCTGTGTGTCATTTACGCACACACATGCAGCCAGCATATAGAAACACCCAGTAATACACAGGAACACACACATTTAATGCAGAAAACACACAACCACCCACACAAACACTCATGCTGGACTGTCCAGGTCAGTCTTAAACCTCCATTTTAACATCTCAGCTCCAGTTCTCTCCTTTGGAGAGACTCAACGACTCATGTTGAACTTAATTCTGATCATTTCCAAACTTTCTCCTGTGCTCAATTGATTTGTTTGACCTTTGCAATTTCTTAATAGAAATCTTTTAGTTTAGTCTTCAAGTAGTCTTGAGCTGTCTCCTCAAATACAACTGTTCCTGACCTTTGACTCTCTACTGTCCTGTTTAGCTTAATGTTAAATGTTATTTCACTTGGAGTCACATGTGTTTGAGCTTCTGTTTTGCCGTTTTTGTCCTTTTCTCTTCTAATTTGTTCAGTTTACATCTGTTTTGGAGTTAATTTCCCCTCTTGTCTGATTGGTTAGAATCTTTTGGTACCTTCATGTAAATTCCGAGGCCTTTTAATCATTTCTGTCTTCTTCTAATCCTTTTCCCATTCTTTTTCCACTCTTCAGTTTATCTTTAAAGTATCCTTCAGCCATTGTTATTCTACTTTCAAATTACTTTTTGCAACATTTCAGTGTTCACTTATGCTGATGATTTCTATGTTTTTGTCTTTTTTCTGCTTTTCTCTGGCATCTTCTGGTGCCTCCATTCATGCATTAGGCAATATAAAGGCTGGTTTGCAGAAAGAGCCTTTTCTAGTTGTATTTATTTTCTTGCTCCACCTGTGTGTGTGTGTTAGTGAGTGAGTGAGTGAGTGAGTGAGTGAGTGAGTGAGTGAGTGAGT